TGCAGTTCGATGACCTATTTGACCCTTATTCCTAAAATAACAATTACTTTCAACCGATAACCAAAAGGAATTCAAAAAATTAGTAATGATTACAATCTCATCTAAATTGTTTAACTTCTACCAACTTATTTTATAAAACCAATGCTTTGGAAACCCAAATCCTCAAGCCATATTATTTATACTGCATTGCAAGAACCGTAACTTCATCCCTAAATAAAATAAAAAAAATTAAATCTAAATTGCTTGGGCGGTAAAATAGCAAAATTTGATTGACCAAGAAGTTATGGCTTTATTATATAGAAACATTATTATTATACCATTTAGGTCATTTTACATGTTAATCTAAATAGCTAATTTTTTCAAATATCTTTTTACCAACTGCCGATATAATTGCTGGTCAAACCCGTTAATAACTGTTAGCACAATCCGCTACGCTAACCGCTAACTGCTGATTGCCAAACAAGGACATTGCGAGATAGTTTCCACTTCAATTTGTTGTGTGATTTGAATACTCTCTTTGTTAACAAATCCCTAAAGTAGTTAATATGATTGACTTAATTATATATATATATATTTTTTATTTTTTCATGGTATTAATAAAATACTTGGTAGATAAATATATAGCATTATTTTGTATTATAACATTGATGTTTAATTAAAAAAATAGTGTAAAAAAAGATATGTAGTGAATATAATCAATTGATGAATTTGAACGCAAAGAATTTTTATATTGGAGAAAAATAAAGACATATAACTAATGAAATTATTTTTCTTAAATAATTTATTGATAATAAATAATTTTTTTAAATAAAAACATTGTAGGGACAATGTAGTGAATATAATCAATTGATGAATTTGAATGTAAATAATTTTTATATTGGAGAAAAATAAAGGCAATATAACTAATGAAATTATTTCTCTTATTTAATTTATTAATAATGAATAATATTTTTTGAATAAAGGCATTGTAGACACATAATTCTAAATTAATGAAATGCATATGTATTATTTTTTGTTGTAGCTACTAAATTATATTTAATTTAATAAGAGTAAAATAGGGTACTAATTATGACAACTTTAATTTGATTGGGATTAGAATTTAAGACCTTTCTTCTTTTGGCTCTTATTAGTATATTAGTATTTTACGCGCATTGCGCGATTGAGATAATGCCAAATTTTTTTTTGTTTAAATAATTACTTTAAAGTATATCAAGGCAAGATTAAATTGGAATTGCTCATGCATAGATAATTGAATGTTGAATTTACGTATTTAAATATGTAATTCTAAGTTTACAAATGCAAGATAATATAGTCAAGATTGATTAAAATTGTAATAAAATAATTGTATAGGCATGGTTAAAACCAAATACGGGACATAAGGGAGAGCGAATAAAAATTAGAGCATAAAATATTAAATATATACTAATATTGAAGAGCTAACTGCTGATTGCCAAACAAGGACATTGCGAGGTAGTTTCCCACAACAATTTGTTGTGTGATTTGAATATTCTTTTTCTCGATAAATCTTCCAAGTAGTTAATATGATTGGCTTAATTTTATATATATATATATATATATATATATATATATATATATATATATATATATATATATATATATATATATATATATATATATATATATATATATATATATAAATTTTTTTAAACAATTATTATTATTATTATTATTATTATTATTATTATTATTATTATTATTATGTATATCCTTAGGTCATTTTACATGTTAATCTAAACAACTAATTTTTTCAAATATCTTTTTACCAACCGTAGATATAATTCGCTGGTTAAATCCGCTAACACTAATCCTAACTGCTGCTTGTCAAACAAGGGCATTGCGAGATAGTTCTCACTTCAATTTGTTGTGTGATTTGAATACTATCTTTGTCAACAAATCCCTCAAGTAGTTAATATGATTGACTTTATTAATTATAATTTTTTAATTTTTTCATGGTATTAATAAAATACTTGGTAAATAAATATATATCATTATTTTGTATTATAACTTTGATATTTAATTAAAAAAATTAGTGCACAAAAAAGATAATAGACAATATTGTGAATATAATCAATTGATGAATTTGAATGTAAAGAATTTTTACATTGGAGAAAAATAAAGACAATATAACTAATAAAATTATTTCTCTTAATTAATTTATTTATAATGATTTTTTTTTAATAAAGACATTGTAGGGACAATGTAGCGAATATAATCAATTGGTGAATTTGAATGTAAAGAATTTTTATATTGGAGAAAAATAAAGACAATATAACTAATGAAATTATTTCTCTTATTTAATTTATTGATAATGAATAATTTTTTTTTTGAATAAAGACATTGTAGACACATAATTTTAAATTAAAGAAATGCATATGTATTATTTTTTGTTGTAACTAATAAATTATTATTTAATTTAATAAGAGTAAAATAGAGTACTAATTATGCCAACTTTGATTGGGATGAGGTTCAAACCTAAGACCTTTCTTATTGAAATCAATGAGTAAGTTAACAGTGAACTAACAGAAATTAACGGAAAAGATAATATTTAACGAAAAAGTTAACGGATAATCATATTAATTAAGGATAAATTAGGAAATCTTAAGAAAAATTAAAATCGGATCAATTTGAGCCATTCATTTGATTAAAAATTTGACCGCCATTTTTTCTACCCATTATAGGCCTAACTCTATTGGGCTCTTATTAGTATGGTAGATATATAGTATAGTAGATAGTAGATAATATAATTAAAGATAAATTTAAAAATCTCAAGAAAAAAAATTAAAATATGAACTGAACAATTCATTTAATTTAATAATTTGACGAACATTTTTTCTACCCATTATAGGCGTAACTTCTTTTGACTATTATTAGTATAGTAGATAGTAGATAATATAATTAAGGATAAATTTAGAAATTTAAAAGAAAAATTAAAATCTGAACAATCTGAACCATTCATTTGATTTAATAATTTTACGGACATTTTTTCTACCCATTATAGACCTAATTTCTTTTGCCTCTTATTAGTATAGTAGATCTTTTGGCTCTTATCAGTATAGTAAATAGATAGTAGATACTAGATTATTATATCGATCATTTCGTCTACAAGAATACAAGAAAGTAAAATCGAGAAACTTCATTTGTATTCAGCAACTTGACTTATGTTTTACACTGAAAAAAAAAAAAAAAAAAAGTTCTTAGAACAAAAAAATATAAAAAGAATATGAATTCAAACAAAAGACTACCCAAATTACATAAATGTCAACCCTTCAATTCTTGACTGGCTTCCTTTTCCGAACTTCAATTCATCAGTCTAAAAAACCACAATTTTGGGATCCAACTAATCTGTTACTTTGCCCAAATTAAATCAATTTAAATCAAATCATTATTCGTTCACAGCCATGCCAATGTTATTTGATTCGACAATACTATCAACTCATGTCGGTAATCATTTCCCCCTTAATTGGTGCATGTAATGACAAATGAGTATCATAGAAAAACCTTGATTGATGATGGGAAACAGAACAAATTAAGGAAAATGCTCTAAAAAATTTTCACTATTTTTTTTTTTTTTTTTAAAGTTTTGAGTGATGATGAAACCCACAATCATTACTTGAGGGTATGCATTAAGTAAATCGCTTGTATCTTGGTGATAAAGAATTACAAAGAGATAAATTAAACCAGCCTACGTTACCCTTAACTGACCGATTCAAACTAAAAATGCCAATAGACCGCTTTCATTGAAGACATAAACTTATAACTTTGTGGTCACCAAGTTAATCGTCTGACCAATCTCACTAAATATTTTACTCCGTATATAGTAAATGAGTAATATATGTCACAATTATTTCATATTCATTAATTACACATTTACATATAAATTAAATTGGTCATTTTTATTATCTATTAATTATCTAAAATTAAATCAAATAAAAAAAAATTTATTTAGTAAAAAAGATTCTGTTCCATATAGCATGATGGATCCATGAATAAAATACGTGAACACTATTTTTAATTTTTGTCAAATACATTTTTAATCGAAACCGTCATATATGATTTTCTTAGTTTTGCGATTTACATTTTTTGTGTATTTTTCGAATTATTACACATGAATGACATTTATCCATATGCACATTCTTGAAATCTCGGATAGTGACTATGAGTTTTTCTCGTCACAAAACAACAACAACAAAAACAACAACAACAATAATAATAAGTGTATATCCCTTTGTATTCATAACAACAATACGATTGAGAAACATTTTCTGTTGAAGTAGTACACTTGTGTATGTAAAGTCAAATATAGTATTTACACTTAATAAACATTAGAATTACAATGTTGATTCATTTTAAAGTCACCAAATATTATAATACTCCGTAATATACAATAATTATATGTAACGATTTGAACCAAAATCACACACATGGTAAGATATATTTATGAGAAGCAGAATGGATGGGAATACATGAAGGCGATATATATATAATATGAAAAATAAGGGAAGATCGAATTACCTTGTTGAATTGTAGGCATTCAACATATATATGTTGGATCATATCTGTGCGGCATCATTTGAATATATTACGTTGATACATAGGTGTCGGTTTCCATGCAAAGCTTGGCAAATTAGCAGTCCTTGCTTGTTATACCTCACATTCGTCGTCAATTCGACCTTGAAATCATGTTCCCCTTTTTGCACTAACACTTTATATGCTCACTATACTATATTATACTCTTATATACGGAGTATTTTGCAATCAATTCCTATAAATTTGTTGTAATTTTACAATTTCAATACCCATCCTCCATTATCCAATAAATAAATTCTTCCAAAAGGCTGAACCCCAACCCTAAGGGCCCCATTATCTAATAAATAAATTATTCTTCCACAGATAGATGACCATGGAATATATGTTATGTAGTAAACACAACAATATATATATATATATATATATATATATATATATATATATATATATATATATTCCCTAAATGATATGATATGATATTATCACCTAAATGATTGAGGGCAATGCAACCAAAATTTGGACCCTCCCTCCGGCAACAATGGAACCATTTTTATTTTTATTATTATTATTATTTTTTTGTGGTGCATAAAGCATAAAGAGACCCATGAATCAAAAATATCAAGTTTCTTGGTAACTCTAGCCAAGATCGGTAAGGATACAAACTTGTAACCGCAAGGTCACAAGTTCAAATCTTAGTCTTCTTGGTTCGAACCTATTAACTATAAGCTACCTAAGTTGATTTACCTCTTTTAGTCTTTTGCCGGCTAGTGTATAAGACTGGGTTTATCCAATTAAGGTGATGGCCAAAGGGGGTTTCCCTCGTCACCCCAAAAAATATATCAGGTTTCAAGTTACGAATTAAAGTTGTATGATATGATGATGATACGATAAAAGTAGAGTGTTTGGTACCAACTACCAGTCCTTCACAATTAACTAATTAAAGCCAAGATAGTTACTGTATGTATAAATGTATAATGTATGTATATAGAATTTATTAAGCATATAAATTAAACGAAATAGAAATTGGAGAAAGAAAGAGATCAGAAGTGGGTAATTTATAAGATGGTTGCATGTAATTAGATTAGGAAGTAGTAGTATAGGGTTTTAATCTTCGGAACACAGTGTAGTTTCCAAGGTCGAACAGACAACGAAAGAAAGGTGGACAGCAAAAAGACTGCTCACTTCACAAGCATAGCACGGAAGCCACTCACCGGAGGATCTACCTACTTAGCTTCATCAACAATTTCTCATATATATATATATATATATATATATTGTCTCGATCTGCCAATATGAAACAGCAAAAATGTCAAAATTAATCTCCGATAAAGAAAGTAATGATACAAATTAATTATCAAACAAGCAAGAAGAAGAAGAAGAAGAATAGTATTTCACCTTCTCTTTCTTGATACAGCTAGAGGTTTAGGTAGGTAGCTAACATAGGTGCTTAATTGTGGTGTGGCTTCTGCTCTTCATTGGCCATATATTTATGGAAGGGGGAAGTGTGAAGTTGGTGTGTAGTGGTTGTTGTGTTGCACGTGAGAACACCTTTGAATCTTTGCTAACCTACACCCACTCCATACGAAAACTATACTACACTATACTATTCGCCCCGGCCCTTCACTTAAATTTATTTTATAGGAAAAAAAATTAAAGTTACAGTGACTTTTTTGTGGCAAATTATGCTATGGAGTTCCACAATGGCGTCGTTTTTGTTGAAAATGACGTTGTTCTAATTAATTTTTTTTTTGTTTTTTTTGCTTTTCACGTGCTGTTAATGGCGTTTCTTTCTTCGCAATCGCACAATTTAGAAATTATGAATCTACTGTATAAAAATTATGAATCTACAGTATAAAAATTATGAATCTACAGTATTAGGTTTGTGAACATGTGATAGAGCTATATGTTTATAATTTTATAAAGAGTAAAAGACATTTTTGATCCTACACTTATAGTGGCATGGACAATTTTAGTCCTCCATAAAAAAATCAGACAATTTGTGGACACTCTTATTGTGACGAGGAAAATTTTGGTCCTCTGTCTATTATCTGATTAGTTGACCGTCTAAATGAGGGATATTTGTGTCAATTTAACTATTCTTTTGATCCTATGACATAAACGATGCCGTTTTTTAGAAGGTGACAAACAATGCATATTATTTGCTGCATAAGATCCTCCACGCCGGAAACATCTCGGCGGTGTTCATCTCTGGATCAAAAGGAAACAATGCCAAAAAACTTCGCCGTCGGCGACCCTTCATTCTCACCACCCTACGGCCCTTCCCAATCTCAGGCGAATCCCTTCTCCAACAACCATTCAAAGAATGTCCAAACCTACCATAATGAACACTGGCAGTTTCTCAAATTCAATCTGCTACCAAAACCCTCCAGATTCACCTTCCTAACCCACAATTCCCACCCAAATTCTTTCAATCAAAGATTTAGATGCATCAATTTCACATTCCTCCACATTCACGCACGCTCTGTCAATCATGGAGAGGGGTCAGATGATAATCGGAATCGACCCTCTGAAATTCGGACTAGTGCGACGAATCGTGGAAATCCCAGTTCTCCGTCTCTCGCCTCCCGGCCGACAATCACATCGGCGGATCATCAATTGGGTGATGGGATTGAAGTCAAGGAAGGGCTGAGATCGATCGCCAATAATCGGGGGTTTGATCGGAGGCCCACTGCTTCTTCCGATGTTTTGGTCGCTCTGTCGTCAATGGAGCCTCTGCATGAGCGATCGGAGGTCGTGGCTGGTGTTGAGACGGTGTCCAGATCAATCCCCTCTGTTCAGATTGGCGATCGGAGTCGAAGAAGAAGAGAGTCTTCTGCAGCAAAACAGAGTCGAACCCAAACCCGACTTCAGTGCTTCCGCGAACCCAAACCCGACGGGGGAGCTTCTGCAGCAAAACAGAATCGAAGAAGAAGAGGGATAGTTCCGGCGTTTCTCAGCTACACCACCGGTGTGGCCACCGGCATAGCTCCGGTTGATGAATACAAGGCGCTCTGGGATTAAGGCGTTTAGCTCTCTGATATCGTGGCCGCCGTGGACAGAATAAAGACATAAGAGACGGAATAAAGAGGAGCAATAGCATGAAATGATATAAATACCCTCCTCTCAAACAGCCATCTAACGGGAATGCAGACGGAGGACTAAAATTGTCTTCGTTATAATGAGAGTGTCCACGAATTGTCTGATTTTTTTATGGAGGACTAAAATTGTCCATGCCACTATAATTCTAGGACCAAAAATGTCTTTTACTCTTATATAAATATATATTCATAATTATAGAGCTATATGTTCAAAATTTTCGATGTTCATATGTCCAATTGTCGAACTTTGTATTCACAAATCACAAAACTATATGTTCATAATTTGATAACTATACAGTTTAGAAATTATGAATCTACAGTACATAAATTATGAATCTACAGTACAGATATTATGAATCTGCAGTACAAAAATTATGAATCTACTGTATAGAAATTATGAATCTACTGTATTTAAATTATGAATCTACAGTTTAGAAATTATGAATCTACAGTATAGATTTTATGAATCTATAGTATAGAAATTATGAATCTACAGTATAGAAATTATCTGTGAAGCGAGTCAAATCAAATAATCAATATTAAAATGTAATACGATTGATGAAATAATATCTCTGGAAAAATGTATTAAATGAGAGCAGTACATTGTACCTATATATACATTCAGACTAGCATAAAGTTGGGGGAGAAGCCATAGACTAGGCTCACAGGACCCAAAACTCTAACTGCCTAATACACCCCCCTTAAGCGAAAGGCGGACAAGGGACAACGCCGAGCTTGAAACGGAGGTCATTAAACCGTGAGGCAGATAGGGATTTGGTGCAGATATCCGCAAGCTGGTCATTAGTAGAAAAAAAGTTCACTTTGAGAGCCCCAGACGCAACCTTGTCACGGACAAAGTGGTAGTCTACTTCCACATGCTTAGTCTGGGCGTGAAAAACGGGATTTGAACAAAGATAGGTGGCACTGTTATAATAATAATAATAATAATAATAATAATAATAATATTATTATTATTATTATTATTATTATTAGTAATTTTTAAACCAAGTATTAAGTTAGTTTGTTAGTATCCATCAGTACGTGGAGTTGAATCCATACTATGTGGGTTATGGATTAGCAGTACGTGGATTAGTGATTACATGATTTCCTAATCTTTAGCTTTGTTAGACTTTGTTAGTTAATTATCATTTAGTATAAATAGCTTTGTTATTCAAGCATTTTATATCATCAAGTAAAAGCACATTCATTCTTATTCCTCTCTCTCTCTTCTCAATATATATAAATATAATATATAGATATATTATATTTAATATATATTATAGATATATTATATTATATTTAATATACATATTATATTTAATATATCTTACAGGCACTAAGGTTGTCACACCAGAGTACCGGGGTAGTGAGGCAGTCCAAGGCAAGATCACGAAGAAGAGACTGAATCCAGACCACCTTTGTTGATACATCAGCAAGTGCTTTATACTCAACCTCGGTTGACGAGCGGGTAACCGTTCGTTGTTTCCTGGAGCACCAAGAAACCAAGTTGGGACTAATGTACACCGCGTACCCAGCAGTAGATATTCTATCCAGTGAACCGCCAGCCCAATCGGAGTCTGCAAAGGCGTGAACCACAGGAGATGCTGAACTAGTGAGACGAAGGCCTAGATGTAGTGACCCTTTGACATTCCTCAAGACGCGTTTTAGCACAGTCCAGTTGTCTTGCTTGGGGCTATGCATGAACTGGCACAGTCGATTGACCGCGAACGACAAGTCTAGTCGAGTGAGAAGCAGGTACATTAGGGAGGCACCTAGTTGGCGATAAAGTGTAGGATATTCTATAGGTGATGAGTCTTCAGAGGGCGTTGATGTAGCCGAGGTTATCGGTGTGGCAAGTGGTTTACAGGAGTCCATCCCTGCTTTGCGAAGAAGCTTTGTCATATAACGCCGTTGGGACAACAACACAACATCAGTTGTGTACAGAGCTTCAATGCCGAGGAAGAATCGAGGTAGTCTAAGATCTCAGATTTTGAACGTTGAAGAGAGCTGCGTCATTACGGATTCCACCTGTGTGGCATCATTACCAAGCAAAAGAATGTCGTCCGCGTATACTAAAATGTAGATGCGGATTTGACTAGGATCATAAATGAACAGAGAGACGTCCATTTTCGACGGGCGAAACCCAACACGAACCAAAAAGTCATGCAGACTTCTAAACCAAGCACGGGGTACCTGCTTGAGGCCATATAACAACCATAGAAGTTTGCAGACGTGGTTGGGGTAGCTCAGATTGGCATAGCCAAGGGGCTGCCGCATGTAGATATCCTCCGTAATGTGCCCGTTTAGGAACACATTATGGACATCTAGTTGCTTCATGGTCCACTTATTTGAAATGACAAAGGTTAACAATAGCCGAATAGTCGCTGGTTTGACAACCGGGCTATAAGTTTCCGAATAGTCGAAACCCGGAACTTGGTTGAACCCTTTGGCAACCAAGCGGGCTTTATACCTCTCGATGGAGCCATCCGATTTACGCTTTATACCATACACCCATTTGCTACCTATTACATTCATTGAATCATTAAAAGGAACTAAAGTCCATGTCTGGTTTTGCAGAAGTGCATTGAACTACGCATCCATAGCGGTACGCCAATGCGGGCTCTTAACTGCTTGAGAATGGCATGTTGGTTCATCGTCATCCACCGAGGTGATCATGGAGCGGGGAGGACGCCTTTGCTGGTTTGTCGTTGTTCGAAGCTGCATGTTATGTTTCCGAGTTGGGGGCCGCTTCCTTTTGATCCTAGTTGTGGCGGTCGAGGAAGAGGACTGTCGGTAGGAGGAGGTTGCTGCTTCACTCGACGATGTCTGCGTGGGCTGTATCGGCGCAGTAGTGCTTCTGGCAGGGGGAATTACAGCCGGCGGAGGTGCAGTCAAGAGGACACCGGTGGGCGGCGGAGGTGTGTCACGGTCGACGACAGGTTGGAGAATCTGAGCACATGCCCACGGGAGAGAGGAAATACACTTCGAGGACCGCCTGGATTGTTCTGTTGCCAACTTGTAAGGAAATACATCCTCGTTGAACCTGACGTGATGGGCAATATAGACTCGTCTAGAATTCCTATCAAGGCACCTGTAACCACTGAAAGAGTCGGGGTAACCCAAGAACACACACGACACAGAACGAAACTCCATTTTATGTTTGTTATAGCGGCGCAGACAAGGGACACATTCACAACCAAACACACGTAGCAAATTTTAATTCGGTAACTTTTGGAACAGACATGAGTAGGGACTTTGATTTTGTAAGACTGACCTTGGCATTCGATTAATTAAATAGATTGCCGACTCAAACGCAAATGACTAGTATTTATGTGGAACATGACTGTGGGCTAACAGAATCAAGCTCGTCTCCACGACATGACGATGCCTGCCTTCAACCAGGCCATTTTGTTCATGTGTGTGTGGACACGATTGTCTGTGTAAAATTCCTGCGGCTGTGAACACCGAGTGTAACTTGCGGAATTCACTCCCCATGTCTGATTGGATGCTTTTAATGGGACAGGAGAAGTATTTTTCAACTAGGGAAGGAAAACGAGTAAAAATTGAATAAATTTCAATTTTATTTGTCATTGGGTAGAACCAAATGTACCTAGAAAATTCATCGACAAATAAAACAAAGTATTTAAAACTGTCAATTGACGTGACCGATGAAGGTCCCAAAATGTCGGTATAAATTAATTCCATAACAGATTTAGTCGAATGATTAACTTGTGATAGGGGAAAGCGTGTGGACTTTTCCATTTGACACGTGGTACAAACATTATTCATGGAATTCAACGGGCTATTGACTGGACATCCAGATAAAACCTGACGCATAACCCGATTATGCGGGTGCCCCAGGTGTTATGCCAGACTTGAGGTGACGTTTTTGTTGATACTAGAGCCACCAGAGATGACGTACTTAGTTAATACATCCCTCCTACGCTGGGACCTTTAAGAAGCGCTTGACGGGTGACTCGGTCCTTCACAATAAAATAAGACGGATGAAATTCAAAATAAACGTTATTATCCTGTGTGAATTTTTGAACGGATAATAATGACGCACGTAACTTTGGGACATGCAATATATGGTTTAGAGACAGTGACCGTAATGGGGTAGGAATTGATACCGAACTTATATTGAGAATAGACAGACCTGAGCTATCACCAACCCTTAAGTGTTCTGTGCCTGTGTATGGTTCTGTATCATTTAAAACGTCTGGATTTGGTGTGGCATGTGCATTCGCCCCCGTGTCCAGAAGATATACATTGGTAAACGGGGCAGAGTTGAGATCTTCCTGATGATAAGCGATATTCGCATGTTGGGCATGAAGTCGATTTCTAGACAGTTGGGGAGGACGATTGCCGACGACATCAATGAATCTCCGATAGCACGTCAATGCCGTGTGCTTGGGGATGTCACAAATCTGGCAGCGTATACCGCCATGACTACGCTGCCCTCTTCCTCGTTGTCCCCGATGATTGCGGCCACGACCACGATTGAACTCAAAAGGGTGGGCGGCAGGTGGCTACTGAGCAAAGAACGCGGACGGGGATGAAGGAACCGATGATTAGGCTTCCTCGGGGAAAAGGTACTGGTAGGTGGCCAGAAGGTCAGCCACCTCTGGAATCGTCAACGGGGTGCTTTTCGTTGTCAAGGAGGCAACTAGGCCGCGGTACTCCGGCCCTAGACCCCTGAGCACATGGAGATTTTGTTCATTAAGGGAGACCGGTCGACCAGCTTGTGTGAGTTACTTGACTAACACCTGGGTGCGTCCTAGATATTCGGACGGAGACGACTCACCTTGGCGGAGATTCTGAAGTTGTGTTAGATGACTTAGCGACCGCGCTCGGGATGAGAAACCCAGTGCAGTTTCTATGGCCACCCACACCGAACGCGACGTCGAGGGCCCGATGGCTAAGTAAAGAACCTCTTTAGCAAGAGAGGAGATTAGCATGCTCAGAATGGATTGATCTTGTTGAATCCATTGAGCATATGAAGGGTTGGTAACCGAAGGGGCATAAGAGGAAAACGCAGCCATGAGCTCCGACGGACATGCGGTGGTGCCGTCAACAAAACCATACAGGTTCTGGCCACGTAAAAATGGCACAAGCTGCGCTCTCCAGAACAAGTAGTTCGTGGCGGTCAGCTTAATTGAGGCGTAGTGGTGGGCTTGGTGCAACATATTGGAAGGGTGACTGGTTTGAGAAGCTGAGTTCGGTGTGGGCACAGTGGTGAGTGCCCGATCCGTGGCTGTGACCGGCGAGACATTGGAAGCATGTGGCAGGTTATCATCGGAAACATGTGGCGGGTTATCATTAGAGGTCATAGGATCAACAGGGCTTAAACTGATACCAAATTGATGATATAATATCTCTGGAAAAATGTATTAAATGAGAGCAGTACATTGTACCTATATATACATTAGACTAGCACAAAGATAGGGGAGAAGCCAAAGACTAGGCTCATAGGACCCAAAACTCTAACTGCTTAATAAATACTTGTATTGAAAAATGTAATACTAATCAAGAATAACATGTATTACATTTTTCTTCAAAAATATTATATTTTCTCTTATAAATAACAAACGTGCACTTTATTCTTAATTAATATGAAATATTACATTTTCCAGTATAAGTATTACATTTTTATCTTGACAGGTATAGGAAACCTATACTACAATATACTATTCGCCCCTTCACTTAAATTTAATTATTTTAGTACGTAACTAGAAAAAAATAAAAGTTTAGAGTGCTCTTGAGTAATATTATGCTAGTCATATATTCATTTTAATATTTTATTAGTTGAGGAAAAAAATAGAAATATAAAATTTGGCCATTTTTTAAAAAGAAATTAATTGGTGTATAGTACAGTAGCAACGTGTAAAATTAAAAGAATAAAATTTCACTTTTGGTCTCCTGACTGTTATACATGAATAACATTTGATCATTGATTATTAAAATTTTCTAATTAAGTGCATGACTATATAATTTGTTTCACATTTGATCCTATTGTTCAATTTTCTAGCAAACTATTGCCGAAAATGATCCTTCCGGAAGAAGCAAATGCAGTGCTCTTCCAGAAGTGCTCCTTCCGGAAGATGCAAATGCAGTGCTCTTCCAAAAGTGCTCCTTACGGAAGGAACAAATGTAGTGTTCCTTCTAGAAGTACTCCTTCCGGAAGGAGCATTTGGCCAAAAAATTTGAACGGTAGGACTAAATGTGATTCAAATTAAATAGTCATGCACATAATTAAAAAATATTAATATTCAAAGACCAAATGTGATTCATGTATAATAGTCAGGGGGCTAAGAGTGAAAATTTTTCAAATTAAAAAAAAAAATAATGAGTAAATCTAATATTACTCATCAGCTTTTATGATGAACTAGTAAGTTACCCGTGCGATGTACGGATAAATTTTATTTATTATATTTTTAGATAATAAAACTAAATATGAAACTATAAACAATTTTAATATTTGAAAGTGTATATTTATTTGTTTATAAAATTAGTGCAAAAGTATAACTCAATCAGTTTAATAATATATAACTCGTTTGTCTGCAATTATCTTGAAAAATTTAATATATAATATGATTTATGTAATTATATTATCTACAAATCTAATAAGAGCCAATAATGTTAGGCCCTTAACTGGAACAAAAAAAATGTTGGTGTAATTGTTTCATCAAATAAATGGTTCATATTATTTAAATTTTAGTAATTTTTTTATGATTTTCCTTATTTACCCCCTATTATATTATTTTCTTCCCTTAAATAACCATGGATTCCGTTAGTATAAACTTTAGTAACGGAATATTCCGTTAACTATTTATTATTCTTACCCCAAAGGCTGAATCCCCAACCCTAAGAACCCCCCACACTCCGACCAACTATTTATTATTCTTAACTTACTCATTAGTTTCTATAAGAAAGGTCTTATGTTTGAACCCCATCCCAATCAGAGTTGGCTTAAATGTTAAACATATACTACGTATATGTTAAAATTATAAAAATAAATACAATATAAAATTTAACATAAACTTTGTTCAAATAATTAGCCCGACGAAATACAAAGCATTCAAAGTTGAAAATCAAAGATTATAAATCATGAACTTTGAAAATCATTTTCTTGCATTTTTTTTAAAAAAAATAACAAATTTAGGTTAAGTTTTTTTTTTTTTCCTTTTTCCGTTTAATTAATCTTCTTTTGATTATTTAGAACAAAACTCAATATTACAATTATTATTTTGCATTATTAGATTTATTTAGGTCATTATGGTATTAATATTTTTGTATATATTTTTATAACAGTATAATTATACATTACTTTACAAATATTATAATATTATTTTTTTAGCGAACAAAATTTATCTTTATGAAAACTTCTACAGAAATTTGTAAGTTAATTTTTACTATATCATTATAACAATATATATTGTAACCATATATTTCGAATTATTTATTATCACCCGCGATTGACAGCAATTGTAGCAATTGCCATTGACAAACTCCCAAAAAAATTGTCTCAACAACAAATGAAAATTAATAAAATCAATAACTTCAATGATGTGGATAAAAAGTATGTACGCCACTTTATTAAAATCCTAAATTCTCGGGTACATTGCGTACCCAGTTTCTGATCCGAAAGTCAATCTGAGTGAAACTGGGAGAAATCTAAATTAAGTGGTTGTCTAGAAAGTATTTTTGAAAAATGTATTTTGGACCCCAAACTATTTTAAATTCTCCTTTCTAGTCTATGGTCCATGTTACAAAGTGGACCACAAGCATCCTATTACTTTGTCTGATCTTAGTAGAAAGCAAGCCAAATTCCTCTTTTGTCATCCACCAATCATTGACCTCCTACCTAGGGTTTTGAACCCATATAAATAGAATATATTCTCCTTGTTTCTCCTGATCCATTCCAAGCCTTAGAAGAAATCACAGTAAGTGTTTTGCCATTCATTCCTCCATCCATTTCATTTCATTTCACAGACTTTGTTCATTCTCTGCCTCCCATCTTTGAGTTGCCTTAAGCTTAGTATGCATGTATGTTTAATTGAGGAAAATAGGTGGGGGGAGGGGGGGGGGGGGGGTGTTAGTAATCTCTGAAGGAGAAAGGAGAAGGGATCCACACAAGAAGAAGAGGAAGCTAAGGTATAACCCCATGGACTCCCACTTTTAAGTTTTGGCTCTGTGAAGCCTTGTTTTATAGGTAGAAATGAGTAAAAATGCTAGATTTTTGAAGTGTTTGAGCTATTAAGTGATCTATTACTTGTCTATGATGTGTTGTTGATGATTTGAGTGTGTTTGGTTGCCTGATATTGTCTCACATGTGAAGGAGAAACTCTCTGGTGCACAAAATAGTATGCACCAGATGAGACACGGGACTAGCCAACGGACCTAGGCAGGGACCATTGGCAATTCCCGTGGAGGAGCGGCCCTAGGGTACGGCTCCAGGTTAGAGCCGTGGCCCTAGGCCGTTGCCAAGGCGGTCCCAGGCAGCGGGGCTCCTCTAGCCTTGCCGCAAGCTCCGTTGGTTTTGTCTGTGCAGTGGTCGGGCACTTGTGGCTCAGCTACGTGTCGTTTCGGACTGGGTGTCAAGGGCCCTCTTGGCTTTGTACCTTGGGGCCGTCATGTTAGTCTTAGTGTTAGATAATGGAATATGATCAATATTTGTTAAGATTTGTTAGAAAAACATGCCTTAGGTGTATGTTATGATTCATAGAGATTATTGTCAAATTCCAAGTTTTGAAGTCTACAGAGCATGTTAGTCTTAAATGTTTTTATCTAGGGGAATGAGTTTAAATTGAGAAATCTGAGTTCCAGATGCATGAGAATTATTTGCTATTATTTTTCAGATTATTAATTTCGAGCATGATTATGTGTCCTTTGAGAGTTCACAGTAATTTATAGAATGGAAGTATGTTGTACAGTAAATTGCATCCCAAGCATATCATGTTTTAAAAGTGCATAAGTGGCCAACATGAGCCTAAGTATTATTTATCAAAACTCATGAGCATGTGAAAAGTATTTATCTTGAGAAGTTGTTGAGTTGGACATGCATAAGTTTGGTGCATGATATATATATATATATATATATATATATATATATATATATATATATATATATATATATATATATATATATATATATATTATCTATATCAGTGAGGTTTTGGAGGACCCGTTGGGACTATGTCCTTTCGGAGTAAAAGAGAAAGTAACGAACATTGCGATCCGACAGATTTATCATGTAACGCGGTGTATTCCCACGTTACGAGGTTGGAGACTGCCCGCCAGGCTTGGAATCCTGGTTAGGGGGTGTGCACACTAAAAGTACGATACTTGATTCCACAGAGTATGAGTATTGGAATCACGAGATTGGTTCTGTGGGCGAGTTAAGTATGTGGCCGGTTAGATTGCCGAGCCGGTTAGGTCCATTCACGATTCGTGAAAACCTACCCCCCACGAGTTAGAGGTTCCGTAGTTACGGAAGTGGCGGATGCACGATATTGCATCGTACGCTAGGGCTTCGCTGCGACGGAGTACCTGCCTCGCACCAGAAGAGAAACGAGAAGTATGAGAAAGTTTGAGCAAGAAAGAAATCGAGTCAAGAGATTCAAGAGAAAGAAAGCGAGTCATTGTGACTCTAAGAAATCTCCACAGAAAAGTATTCTTTTTACAAACGAGTGTATAAGTATACATATCTTATTGCATATATTTGCATCATGAGAATGTTTGCACGAGATTGCATTTGAGTATAGTATTGCACGAGATTGCATATCGAGAATGTTTGCACTAGATTGCATATTGAGAATGATTACCCGAAATTGTATATTGACTAAGATTGCCTTAGTTGCATATTGATGTTTGATGTATATCTAGTTTACAGGATTAGAACTTGAAAGCATGAAGATAATTTCGTACTGATTGATAACATGCAATTACTTGATGACATGAGTTCGTTATGGTGAGTTTTGTTAGGAGAAATATGTGTTGGAGTATTTATGTTGATGAGTTATTTATATATGAAGCATGCCTGTTGATATTATAGGTTGCAAGCATATAGAAAGTCTGTAATGTATCTTAAAGTTGTCTAAGTGTTGAGATTGCTTGATTAGAGTTTGTGAACAAATGTTTTTCCAAAGTATATACTGTAGTACTTTACAGGGTTGAGTGTGGTTATACTTAGCTTCGTGCTAACGGGTGTTTTCCTACTTGTCTATGTGTTGTTTTGCAAAACCCCTTTCAAGTGGGCCCAGCGTTTGAGATATGATCGAGTTAGACTAGCTTAGTAGATGTAGTAGTCTAAACTCTTATTATTATTATGATGTTCATTTGATGGAATGTACACTTATGATGTTTATGTTTGGTGATAGATACCGGGGTGTTTTAACCCTTATGACTTTAAATTGAGTATTTTAAATGTTAGTTTGACTTAATGATTTAGTTCCATCCTTAGCATGTGCAATCACCGTGGAGAGGTGGTTGTGGCGGTGGCATTCCCACTAGTTTATTATTTAAGTTGTTTATCCGTTGCTTAGTTTATCTTGATTTTGGTTTTAGAATTGTAATTAAGTTTAAGAAAAGTGGGTGTTACATCCAGTTTCTCCTCTACCCACGCCACCGTTCCCCTACCCTGCTCCCATGTGAACTGGTATCCGTCAAACCCGAAGTCCTCTAGACCGCTTTCGACTACCGCCACCCTAAAACCCCTCGCTAACCACTCTAGATGAGGTACCCTCCCCTTCTTCTCCTCTATACTTAGGAGATCGTTAAAATCCCCCATTACTACCCAAGGCATCGAGTGAAGATTAGAGAGATAACATAACATATCCCAAGAATCCCTACGCCGAGCTCTGTCCGTAAATCCGTAGAAACCCGTGAATCGCCACCACTCACCTCCACCCTCGTAGCGCATCCTTGCGTCAATGAAATTCAACGAGTACCCCAACACCTCCACCTCTACCCCAGTCTTCCACAGCAACACGACAGCCCCACCACGCCCCACACTGTCCACCCCTAGACACCCTTCAAAGCCTAGCTGCCTTCGCACCTCCTCTACCCTATTATGCCCCACACAGTGTTTCACAAAGAAACACCACCTTTGGCCTCTTCCGTTGGATTATATCTAACTACACTCGAATTGCCGACGGGTTGCCAAGCCCCCAACAATTCCATGCTATGATACTCATTGATTCTGGCGGGCCTGCATAGCAGCACCCGCCTCATGCACGTTGTTTAGAACAGAGGTTTGTCCCCCCACTACTACCAGACCAATCGATCCCTTGTCATCCTCACCATTCCCCTCCACTCTGCGCCTTTTTTGCTCTAAGATAACCACCCCTTGCTCCATTCTCTATGTCACCTTAGATATCCTTAAACATCTCCACGTTCGCGTTCACCATGTACACATCTGAATTTACGTGCGCAAAAACGCCTCCGACATTTGCGCTGTTAACTGCCCCGGGATCCTGGTTTTGTGGGCCACAATTAACAAGCCAACGCTGACCGTACACCGCCGGCGACCGCCTCCCCTATGCCCGGAGCCACGATCCGTAGACCTTCTCCTCCACTACCCCTCTGTTCTCAAAGTGGTAGCCGCAGAAGTGTTCCGAATGGCCCAGAATTCCAGAGATAAAACAAAACATGGGTAACCGTTCGTATTTGAAATCTACCCAGAACCACTCGCCACCTTTCTTCTTTAATCTCATCTTTCGCTTAAATGGTTTTCCGACATCCACTTCCACCCTCACTCTCATGAACACCTTCCATTACACAACAAAGTTGTTCTGATCGGCCTGCACAAAGCAACCAACGTGGTTACCCACCGCCTTCACCACTCTCTCACTCATGAAGCCCAAGGGCAGGTTATGCACCTGAATCCAGAATTTTGCAGTGTTCAGTTCAACTGCCATAGGTCACTGAATCTGTGCCACCCTTTTAAGCAGTAGCAAGTTTTGCTCAAATGCCCACGGCCCCCCTTCCAACACCCCGCCGTAGATCCACTTCATGGTAGAACTGAAACAAGTATAGGTTGTTCTGTAACTCCTTGATAGTAACTCCTTTGCCTGGCCGCCACACCCCCGCCAGAGTGTCACGCACAACTGTAAATTTGAACGGCCGGTCCGACAGCAACTTCTCCACCGCCGCGAACTCTAAATTCTGCCCTTATCCCACCACTTCATCCTCTCCAAACTCCACCCCTCCAACCGCCTCCTCCTCAACCATCAAGGACGCGCAAACCTCCCCAATCGGTCGAGATGACGACGCCATACCACTAGCACTCCACACATAAAAGAAAACAGGGAATAAACAGATCAAATGTAGAGACTAAACACACCACCACTGCTGGAAATTATGGAATTTCTGACCACCTGAAAGTGATCTTATATCAAGTCGAAAGCAAAAAGTGGTCAGAAATAGCAACAAAGGTTTTTCTGGATACCAAAAGTGATCGGAATAAGGCTTTCGACTTGATTTAAGGGGGGTGTATTCAGTCATGACTTTCATAGAGTTTTAAAGACTTTTACGAACTTTAAAAGTTTAGGGGTATTCAATTCAAACTTTTAGAGAGTCTTTAAAAGTCAAGCGGTATTCAATCAAGATTTTTAAAAAAGTCTTTAAAAGTCGTGTGGTATTCGATTAAGACTTTTAGAGAGTCTTTAAAAGTCACGTGATATTCTAAAAGTTATGAACTTTTGTAGACTTTTAATTTTAAGACTTTTGTAGACTTTTTCTTCTCAAATATAAATAGTTGAAATCCAACCATCAACCCCCAGATTTCAAAATTTTCTTTCTAACAACTTTGAATGTTTTCTCTCTCTATTTAAACTCTTTTTTTCTCCCAATTTAAACTTTATAAACTTATCTAAATTTAATAAAATTATTTTTTTCTTCATTATCCTATATTTTCCTCATACATAAACTATACCAATTTTTCCCTCTCCCCTAAACTTTATAATCTTCCTCTAAAAATTTGAAATAATATTATTTTTACTTCATTATTGCTTGTTTATATTGATTTTTATTTTTTCTATAAATTTTTTTATCCCTAACTTTCTCTAATTCTCCTTAAATACATGAATAAAGCAAAATTTTCATCATCAAATTTTAGCATATGTTTAATAATATTCATACAAATACTTATATATTTTAATTTTTATTCTTTTTATGTTTATATACGTATAATATATATATATATATATATATATATATATATATATATATATATATATATATATATATTGCTAGGCATCACGCAAAGAACTATTATTTGCAATAGCAATTTGAGACTGCGAACAACAATAAGATGTTACTGTTTGCAACCCCAAATTGTTGTTGCGAATAGTACTTCGCTATTCGTAGTAACTTGTTGTAATATATATATATATATATATATATATATATATATATATATATATATATATATATATATATATATATATATATATATATATATATATATATATATATATATTATAAATATTAGATTTTTATTTTTTATTTAATGCAACTTGTGATTATATTTTTAAATATTTTATTTGATCAATTCTTTTATTATAAATTTTATTATTCAATATTGTTATGAATTTCTAATGAAATAATTTTTTTTTTTGATGTTTATTAATAATATATATAAGTAATTAGCATATAAGTCTCAACATACTATGGATAAAAATAATAATGTTGAGAATGTTGATGTGGGTGAAGAACTATATAATAAGAAAATTTTATGATATATTATAAATGGTTTGTAAGAAAATTATAAATGATAAGAATCAAAATCATTGAGAGTTTGTAAGGATGTATTCAATTTAGAATTTCAATGACTTTTGTAGACTTTTTAAAATAAAAAGTTGATAAAAGTTTATGAATATTTTTTATATAAACTTTTATAGAGTCTTATAAAGTTTTAAAAAGTTTTGAACGACTCTATGAAAGTCAATCAAAATTTATTAAAGTCTATCATTTTAAAAGTCTTTAAAACTCTACAAAAGTCATGATTGAATACACCCCCCTAAGATCATTTTCAGGTGATCGGAAATTCTATAATTTCTAGCAGTGTACAGGAACGAGAAGAAGACATGAGATCATCTTTAAACCCCTTCCACACCTAAAACCGCATCTCGGCAGCCCCAGCAACCGCCGTAGAACCGCCGCACCCCACCACCACGTTCGCCCCACGATTAGATTTGAGAGGGAGATTTTAGAGGGAAATTTTTTTTAACCAAACATGAAAATCCTAGCTATTTAATTTATATTTATAATAGTTGTACTAAAAAAAAAACTCTATTTTTTTTTTTTTAATGCTACTAGCTCTATTACATTATAGTATGTGTTCATATACTTTGTCAACCTATGAAACACAAAGATTCACTAACGCCGTGGAGTCTCGAACTCACAACCTTCCCAATGAAAGTCCAACCCGGGTACCATTAGACCAAAAGAAACACATTCTAGAATTTTTTGACAAAATTACAAATAGTTTATGTGAAATTTTACGCATTATATCACTATTACAAAAAGTTATACATGTTTAACTATTTACATGATTTAGGAAAAATTATGAATATATGTCATCACTTTATGCGTTTTAAATAATGCATTTTTAAATATAGTATCAATATCATACAACTTTTCATAATATATATTTGAAAAATTAAACACACTTCTATTATTATTTTTACACAGAGCATGTGTGAAATTATTATTATTATTATTCTTCGAAAGGTTGAGCCCCAACCCTAAGGGTCCCCACACCCCAACAGAGCATTTGGGAGGATGTAAATCATGGTGACTTATAACTGAACATAAACCATAGAGGCTATTGCGACTTATAACTGAACATAAACCATAGAGGCTATTGCGACTGGTGAGACTCAATCCCTGGTCATTCTTTCAAAGTTTTACTTATATGACCAGTTGAGCTACCCATGCGGGCTTCTTCTTCTTCTTCTTCTTCTTCTTCTTCTTCTTCTTCTCTATAATAGCTCGCAAACTATGTAAACACATTATGTGACAAGCTCAAACAAAGAGAGCGTTGGCAAAATTCGAACGTGTGACCTTCAAATATGATAATTGTACTCTACTCACTTGATAAATTGTCATCCCCTTTTGACGCACTATGTAAGACATTATTATATTATTGTGTGGAGCTTTACTAAGAGCATCCCGTTTATGATTTCTTTTAATGAAATTTTCAGCTTCTTCCCCCAAAAGGTTGAATCCCCGACTTCAAGGGACCCACACCCTTACCTGAATGAACATTTGGAAAGATATAAATCACAGTAATTCAATAGCTCAACAAACATGATTTTTTTCAGCCATTTAGCATAGTTGGAGGAGAGAGAGAGAGAGGAGATGAGAGAGAAGGAAAAAAAAAAATTACAAATGTGGATTTTTTGTGGATTCCATAAATTATAAAAATGAAGGATATTCTCGCCTAGTGCATGTTTGGCGCAATTTTATTTTCATTTGTAAAAATATCGCGTGCGTAAATTATTGTTTTCTTTTTAAAATTTTCCTTGACAATTTTATTTTCATTCATTTTTTCTCTTTTTTATTTTTTTTATTTTTTTTCCTTTTTCTCTCTACCTTCCATTCATATGTGGCACTACAAAAAGCATAAAAAACCACAAGTATTATTGATGACTTAATACATAAAGAATCAACTAAACCAAATTTTGTTTAAAAAAAAAAAAACTAAAACAAATTTTCAGTTTGGATCGCATGCTTTTGATCGTACGACATGTATGGTTGATAAAGAACATGAGTGACAGTGAGCAATACTGAGGCGGGCTGGCTTATTAACTATGCCTTGTGCGCAGGGACGGAGCTAGAAATTCGGTTGAGGGTGGCGAAGAAGTAGGGAAGGATTCAAAATTTTTTTAAACCCTATCCTTTATCATAACTCAACATGGGAATGAGTAAAAAAAAACCGTTGAAGCCAACTATAAAAAAAATATGTCAATGCCAAGATTCAAAACCCTATCCTTTATCATAACTCAACATGTGCTCAACCAACTCATCTAAATAAACTATTGTTAATATTTAATAGCTTTATTTTACTAATACTAACACATATATTATATATACATTTATACATACAAAAATTATATATGGAATGGGTTGGGGTGAGGGGGGAAGCTGACCCCCTGTCCCGCTTGGCTCCGTCCCTACTTGTGCGGTTGTGAAGAGATCACTTTACACTTGTCAATAAAACAATAAAAAAAGTTTTTATAACCAATTTTTTATTTTTATTTTTAAATCACATGTCATTACCCATGTGTTCCATCTAACTTTTTCTTTAGCTTGCTCCAATGACCAAATACTCCTCCCACCTTCCTCCGCACGAACCCTTGCATTCCCAACAAACCCCCCTCCCCTTTTTTTTTGTTTTTTTTTTTTTTTTTTCTATTCCTTTTCTTCTTCTTAATTGGAAAATAAAAACATAAAGAGAAAAATGCACAAAATGTCATAATGTACTTTAATTTTTGTACATTATGACTTTTTGTGCATTTTTCCTTTTATATTTTATTTTTTCTATTTTTAAATTTTAATAATTCTACTTAGTTTTGTCCTTACATTAAAAATAGGAAAAATCTAAAAACATAATGAGTCTCAATCAAATTTATATCCATCATGTCCATGTTTTTAATGCTAAATCATTTTGTACTGCTTGTAGAATTGTACTATATAATTTTTTGGACAAAAATACCCATACCGTTATAACTTCCGTTATTGTTACCATGCACATGCATATACCATATATTTTCTTATATTCATTAATGATAATAATATTTGTAGACATTATAGATTGAATTATTATAATAAACTAGATGGTATAACTAGT